TAGTTTTAACCAACCAGTCACCACCCCAAGAAAATGTTCGGTATTGGCGTCAATGCAGCCAATGGTTGCATTTGCACGCACCGTGTGGCACGCACATATGTTTTCTGGGGTACATGTACACCGCTACGTGTACGCACCCAACCACAGTCCTCTCATGTTTACATACAGCAGCACATGTTCTTTATTGCAAGTAGCTATTGGCCACGAAAGTCAGATTCAAGTGTCAATGAAGCCAGTGGTTCAGAGATGCATCCTGGCGCATAGTACATAACCGGCAGTCAAGAATATGCCAAAGGAATGCTCGATGCAGTATCTATGCAGTAACACAACTGGTGAAAAGTAGGCTCTGATAGTGGCGGCTCGAGTGACAAGTGCTAGTATCAGTCCCGCGCTCTTATCCGTTCGTGCAAATAGTCAAGTATTCTCTTGCGATTAGAAGCAACCTTCGACAACGAGATCTTCTGTAATGACTGACCGATGATTGTTCCGTTCTGAATACATACCCCGTTTACCATATAAATGCTTCCACTAAACATGATCCCACCCAAACTCAATGTGATCAGTGGTACATTCTGTTCCAACCCATGAATGGCGCTCTGATCTTCAACGAATACCTTCGCATGCAGCGCTTTATTTCAAGAAATTACCCTGGGACCAACTGAACTCGAGTCGTATGTCAGCTCTCTCGTTTACGACCGCATGAAAGCTAACATCCTCTTTCGAGTGTTGTTGTTTATTGCACGATGTCATGGACTCCATTATATCCGACCTCAGCGATCGAATATTCTTAAAGCTTCCTAGCCTTCGACCAAACTCTCTGCGCACCCAACTTTGCCCGAAAACACTGCTTAGCATCACTAAAGCTACATCGTAGAATCCTTGCAAACTACAATCGTTCGCGGTCATCATGCCGTGGCTTCGGCAGCATGCCGGCAACGGACCACATGAAGAACAATCACGTGTCAGCCTTCTCGTGGCTTTTCGGCTGAAATGTGCTTGACACCATCCACGTTTCGAGGTACATAATGTTTTCGTTATTTACTGTATTATTACTGCTCTCACTCACATTCTAGTCACTACCTTTACCTCCAAGTTCAACTAGATACTGTGATCAATTCGCTCTGACAAAGAAACGACGCTCAACTACGAATTCAGGCGAACTTTGTTTTCAGCGAGAGTTTATAAAGTTTTTCCAGTCTGAGGGAGTTTTTGTTGTTCATTCACCTGTAAATTCAAAAAAGCCGGCCTAATTCTGTTTTGTCGGCGACTGATCGCACGTGTTTCTTCCGTGCGTACCTTCTTTAATAGAAGTTCTCATACTCTGCCGATTACGATCAATATAATATCTATCCTGTCCTGAATTTCTACCGTGTGACTTCACACAGTTCACAAACACATCTGCTATGTCACCAAACGTAACTGCTGCTGTCGGTTTCCCGATGGATTGTACCACTGCCAATCATGCCTGATCGATGCATCTTTCTACAGAATATTCATTAGTTACGATTTGTCCACTTTTCGCAACTTGCCGTCTGATGCGCAAAGTGATAGAGGAACTGCACAAAATTCCTGGTGAAGCATTTTCTCCATATCTACTTCTCGTCCAGATTCCTTTGTCGTTAACAGACGACGGAAAAGTTCACGGTCCGATTTCACGTTTGCCTTCGGTGTATTTCTCTGTGTTTCAGATTTATATATCGAGGTCATTGTTTTTGACTTGTTTTTCGTAATGGTATCATGAAAGCCTTTTGCTGGTATGAGACAAGTTTCTACAAATGATTTCAGTTGTTCCAGCCCTTTCGTCTTAGCACCACATATGTCTGATTTAATGTCATCTGTAGCAACATCTTCTGTGGCAATCTGGATGAGTTCACTCTGTGGACTGAATGCAGCAAAGCGTTGTAACTGTTCAGCTATTTTATTCATGTCAGACCTATCCCGTACTAGTCGTGAAGGGCTATACTCTTTGTGACTATATTCACTTTCATTGTCTTCCTGATGTATTCCGAACAAAAAATATGTATCCTCTGCTAGTCTAGCCCTTTCGTTGAAGGTAATACTCCATCGATGTAAGGCAGAGGTATCTTGCGTAATGCCAATAAGACCTCCAGCAACTTTCCCAAGTTTGTTGAAATGTTCAAGACTTTGGTCATCGGGAAGTTGATTGAATGTATGCTTTGTTTCTTTCACCACAAAGTCACCCTGAAGAAATCCTCTGTATACCTCTGGTGCAGTTATACTCAGTTGTTTCATCTCAGCGAGAAACACCAGTCCCCATCTGCTGTAGTTAATATGGTCCTATATCGCGAACCACGGTAGCATTTCCGCAAATGACGAGAGATACAGATGCCAATCTCCACATCTCAGTGCTCGTGTAAACCGAAGTAGGATGCAGACGAGTTTCATATACTGCCTCCACATCACCAAAGTCGGGTCATCGGAATGTGCATCATCGTATTTCCTGACAAGACGAATGAGCTCTTCACACGTTGACACCAATATGTTCAAGGATTCAGGTTTGTTGTCATCGTCATTGTTCATGTCATGGATAACTTTCATCAAGAGAACCATTAGTTCATCAACATCAATGTCGAG